ATATAGGGGTTATGGCATTGATGAATTTCCTAACCTTCCTAGATTCACTATATAGAATCTAGAACCGAACTGGTCGAGGCTGATTCTCCAATTTTTTAGCCAAGAACCTACCTAGTCCCCATTTGAAGTAGCTTGGAATTGGTCAGGTAAGGCCTTGCTCGCCCATAAATGCACACCATATATCTAAAGCAACTTGGACTAATCCTAAAGTAATTCAAAATTTTCATTATTTTCCATGTTACACGATCCCAAAGAGAGAAAATTCAATTATTTAGGATTAGTCCAAGTTGCTTTAGAATCTCTAATTGGCTTTAACACTCATCTTATTGTATGTTTAAGACATTGTAGGCATATCACAGACTCTTTACTGGGACTTGATGAATCCAATAAGAGGTAAAAATATGCAATTAACAAACCATTAAGCCCAAAAACTCATAGGTTGAATATGCGCCACGTGGCAAAACGGTGCCACATGTCATGCCATGTACTATATGTCATGCCACGTGACAAGCAGAGAGAGAAAGTGAAATGCAATGCGACGAGGATTAGAACGAACTTTCTCTTAGCTCCGGCTTAACTATATATAATAGATTGTACTCCTAATTATCGCGCTCATTTCCTTCTACTTTGTTCAAAACGTGCCAACTCACACGGTGATTGCCAATCACTGATTGGTAACTAAAGTTTGGCTTTGCTAATTTTAGAATCTTAATTAAATTCATGTTCATAGTGTCTTGTTTTAGTAAATTTTGTTTTTTCGTTTAAAAAATTGGGAAGAGATGATCGACAGTGGTGACTCAAGCCTCGTAGAATATTACCGCTTGCGTATGGACCGCTAAGATATCGAGCCCCATCACGATAGCCCCGCAAGGTGCTAGCGTATCCAAAGCCGGAGTCTCGCTTGGGCTTTGGCATTTCACCAATGAATCGAGGTTTTCCAGGAATTTGAATAACAAACGGCATTCGAACTCGAGACTACCGCTTCTCCAAGCCACTTGGATGTAAGTCTTAAGCCACTCTTGACCAGCAGTGGTATATCCCATAGGTGTTAGACATTTTAAAGGTCGATGACGACCTTTTCGTGAAAACCCTTTAGGTTAAAATTCTTTCGCATTTCTTCGAAGGCTTCTTCGAAAGCGAACCAAACGCAACCAGAGTAGTCGAATGCCTTGCGTGTCTAATTAAAGTAAGGTTAGACTCGGATAAATCAATATCATTCATGCGCCGTCGGGAGGAGCGGAAGAAGTGGAAATGGGTAGGGAAAATGGAAATGGAAAGAATGAAATTTGATTTCCTCTCCTTTTCAAGCCAAGGGGGCGTAGGAAAGGTGGGGAAAAAAAAGGTGAGAAATTTACTTTCCTAAGCCAATTAATTTTTGATAATCTCAAATTTTTGTGGGAAGAAAGTGTGTGAAACTTCCATCAACTCAAATACCGGAAATTTCGAAATGAGGCCCATTCAACGTTGAAAAGATTTAAGGGTAAATGTGTCACTTCATAGGAAGTGGCTCTTGTTTCTTTCTCTTTGTTTTCCTAGTTTGATTTTGTGTTAATACGACGAAAAACTCCGAACCTGTAAATTTGTGATAAATTTACCCAAAATTAATTTTTTTATCACGAAAAACCTCAAACTGATACACCCGTGATAAATTTACCCTCAATTAATTTTCGTTAAATTTTACCGTCAAATTGCTAAGTTGGTGACACGTGGCAGTTGACGAGTGTACCAGTTTAGGGTTTACAAGTGTATCGGTTTGTGATTTTTCATGATATTAATCCAATTTAACCGAGGGTAAATTTGTCACAAATATATCAGTTTGGGGTTTTTTGTGGTCAAAAAATTAGTTTTTGGTAAATTTATCATAAAAGTACAAGTTTGGAGTTTTTCGTGATCAAAATATTAGTTTGGGATAAATTTGTCACAGATATACAAGTTTGGGATATTTTGTGATATTGACCTTTTGTTTTTTTTTTCTTTTTCCAAATAAAGAGAAATACAACCAAGCCACCACCATTCCCTTCCTACTTTACCATTCCCAAACACCCAATAAGATAAGCATCTCATTTATTTTCTCCCTCCTAGAAATTTCTTCCAAAAATCAATTTAAAAGTAGGACTAAGTACTTACTTAGTTATTTAAGATCTTTTTGTATTTCCAATTGAATCCGAAAATGGTTTTTTTTTTTTTGGGCAATCGAATCTTCTAACTATTTTGATTTGTACAATCAAATATTTCCATCAGCTGTCCCTACTAACGCAATCTAATTGACGATGCCTAAAGTTTGATGCTTGCTGCTGATGTGACAAATACCAGCATAACAATAGGGAAAAAGAAAAGTAAAATAAATGGATGACATAAAGTCCGAATTGCACGACTGCATAGATGTCAAGATTCCGGGGACAGATTAGAGGACCATTCAAAATCAAGGGATGTACAAAAATCAGCGTCATCAATAGTACAAATCAAGCTCCGTTCATTGTCGCGAAATATAAACGATTTAAAAAATATTTATCTAAAAATAATTACTTTAATATTAATTGAAATAAATTAGTCAATGAAAAACATTCAATTATCGATAACAGTTCACGTCAAAATATTTTAGTGGACGATGCAATATAATTCGTCCATTTATTTTTTGAAAATTATATAAACAATCGTTTTCGGGGAAATGTTGTCCATAACAATCATATTTTGCCAAACAGACGCACGCTTTAATGTCGGTATATCGAGTCGTATATATAAACATCCTCCAATTACATTCTAAAGAGGACTAACTTTTTTTTTTTTTGGGTCAAAAGCAAAACATTCTCATTAAGGATTAGAACTTGAAGGACAATATAGTTTGGCATCTAAACATAATAAATATCAAAGGGGTTGGGGGTTCAGAGAGCCAATTAATAGGGAGGTACCCTATTCTATGAGCTTTAGCAATCCAATCGGCACAGTAATTAGCTTACCTCCGAACTATAGAGGCGTTCTGAAATGGCGTGTCGTTCCATTTAGCGCGCAAAGGTGAGGGGAAAGGGGAAAAATAAAATCCCCGAAAAGCCAATTTATAAAAGAGAAAGTAAAAAAAAATACCAAAATTATGTTCACTGTGACACATTTACTTTGAACTTTTTTTGTAACATAAAAAATCCAAACTATGCTCACTGTGATACATATAACTTAAAAATTTTCTCGTGACAGAAGAAATTCCAAACTTTTACTTACATGACACATTTACACTCCATCAAGGTTCTGTTAGATGATTTTTCAGTCGAAACAATGTCATTTTTATTCTACTTAAGCCACGTGACCATATCCATACTGTTCGCTTTCCAGAGTCCACGTATCCAAATTTTTAGCTGTCATCATTGATTGAATTTTCACGGAAGGTAAATGTGTTACGTAGGTACAAGTTCGGAATTTCTTGTGTCACGGAAAAAAAAGTTTAAGGTAAATGCGTTACGATGGATATAGTTTAGGGTTTTTGGTGATTTTCCGCTTTTTGTAAAATGATTTTAATGGAGAAAAATAGAAAATAGAATTAAAAAAAGGAAGAAAAAAAAGAAGAAGAGGAGAGAGATGAAAGGGACATTGTCAGCGACACTACATGCGAGAATAGGGGCCAATCCTATTCGGGTCACGTGCGGGCCCCGCTCCCCACACGAGAAGAAGAGCGGGAGTTGGGTTGGTTGGGAAGTAAATAATAGCTTTTTAAATAAAAAATAAAATAGGAAAAAATGGAAAATCCAGATAAGGAAGGAGTAACTGACTGCTTCGCATCGCATGCGCATGCGCTTCGTGTTGGAAAGTCAATGTAGGAAAGAGGGGGGCGTAGGCGTACTCGTGAAGCCGCCCGCACCAAACCATAACCTTAATTATCGAAAAGGAAATGGCATAAATGACCCCTCAACTCTGGTTTGACGGACAATTTCATCCCTAAAATTATAATTTATTTAAAGATTAACATCAAGAGAAACCTCAAATTGATAAGTTTATCCGAAATTAATTTTTTGAGCACCATAAATCCAAACTGGTATAAAATCTACCATCCGTTAATTTTCGTTAAATTGGATTAATACCACAAAAAATCACAAATTAATACATCCATGACAAACGAAGGGTAAAACCCCAAACTGATACACGCGTCAACTATCACGTGTCATCCTACTTAACAATTTGACGGTAAAATTTAACGGAAACAAACGGAAGATAAATTTGTTACAAGTGTACCGGTTTAGGGTTTCGTTTGGGCTAAATCTGTCACATATGTACTAGTTTGGGGTTTTTCGTGATATTTACGTTTATTTAATGCAGTCTTTGAACTTTGGTCTAATGTACAATACGATCCATGAAATTTTAATTTGTTCGATGCGATTCTCGAACTTTGATCAAATGCTGAATATGCTCCATGGACTTTATATATATTCTCGTGTTGTTCCGAGATTACGTTCGAGATTAATTGGCTTTATGGCTCCGATACCATGAAAGGGGCCATGTTCAGAACAAGAAATTAGCAAATCCAGCTATTCAGTCCCCTCACGGTGCCTTTCCTAAGCCTTACCCTGTCGAGATCGACTTGTAGCATCCGGTTAAATCCTCACTCCGAATATAAGGCCTTTTGGCCTCAGTGTCTGATGCACAAGATCCTCACATTGAGCAAATTGATAGTTAATGAACCACATTGTATGTTGGAACCAACGTTCTAGGATTATATTGAGCGATTTAAAAGTTTAGAGAGGTGATATTGAAAATTCAACTAAAATTCGGGGACCTTTGTACTATGATCCCTTACCGAAGAAAAAAGACAAAAGAAAAAAATTTAAAAAATGGAAAAAGGAAAAGCGGAAACAAAGAAAAAGAAAACATAAACGAGAATAACTAGAATCTAACCCTCTCTCTCTCTCTCTCTCTAGACCTCACTCCTCCATCATCACCCAAACCACCTCTCTCTCTCTCTCTCTCTCTACATATATAAGCATCGATCTCCTTCTTATCTTTCTCTCTCTGTCATATTCATCAGCATTCAACACAACACCCCCAACACCGTTCTCTCTCTCTCTCTCTCTAGAGACGAGCTTTTTGCCTTCTCTCTCTAGCAAACATCTCCGCCTCCATCTCCATCTCCATCTCAGTTCTCCTCTTCCTTCGACGTCGGATTCGAGCCCCCTCGGGAAGTTGGGCTACCCCGGAACGAGGAGACCGAGACCGCGGCGGCGATGATGGGTACAGCGGAGGACGGGTGGGTGGCGGCGGCGATGGCGGACAGCGGGGTGGCGGCGGAGCTCCTGGTCCTGCTGAAGCGGGCGCGCGCCGCGGCGGCGCCGGCCAAGCCGGCGATCGTGCCGCCGATGAGGTGGGGGGTCCGGCAGCCGAGGTCGAGGACGGCCCCGAGGTGCGACGCCGCTGCCGTCGCCGCCGCCGCCGCCCAGAGGAAGGAGGCGGATTCTGCGAGGAATAGCCCGACCACGCCGCTCTCCTGGAGCGGCGGCGCTTCTCCGTCGGCCACGGCCGACGGCTTCGAGGAGTCGAGCTTGCCGGCGAACGGATCCTCCGGCTCCGCCAGATCCAAGGTACATCTCTCTCTCTCTCTTCAGAGTTCGCTTTTCTTTCTTTCCCTTGACTTCTCTCTAAGTCGGGAGGTACGTGACTGAACGCAACTGCGCTCTGTTCAGGAGAGTCCTCTCTCTCTTCTCTCTCGTCTGTCTTTCTCTCTCCGTCTCTCTCTGTCTCTCGCGTGAGATTTCCGGTGACCCTGCGAGGTTCGGTTGGTGGTGTCAGGCTACCTTTCTTCTGTGGACCGAAGTACCCCCCCCTCCCAAGTGCCCGTACTTTCGTCCTCTTTGTCTTGGGCCGTCTGGAGCAACAGGCGCCCCTTTTCCTCGCGATGCCCATCTTGTCCTCGCGCAAACCGTTCCCTCCGTCGCCCCGCCGCCTCCGCCGTCTTCGACTTTTCCGTTCATCGATCTTCTCCTTCTTCTCTCTCCCTCTCGCACCTCCTGACCTGCTCGTTACACCCACAAGGGCAAATCCGCCCGAAAGTCTCAGCGTCGCCTCCTCCGCCGTCTCGGCGGCGGGCGGCGGCGGAACCGCGCAAGGCGGGGTGTTGTCTGGTGGATTCGAACGGGCGATTGCTATGCTGGCTTTTTTGCCGCTAGCTATCTCTAAAATGCCCGAAATGCCCTCGAGAACGTCCTCCTCCTCTTCTTTCTTTTTTGGGTTTTCCTGTTGGGTAATGCTTTTGTGAGGTCATCGTGTGGCCGGTTACGATGTACTTACTCTCTCTCTCTCTCTCTCTTTCTCTCTCCTTCTTCTTTCGTCCCCCCCCGTCGCCACCCCCCGTCATTCTTGCCTTCTTTTCTTTTCCGTTTCCTTTTCTATTTGTTGCCCTCTTTTAGCAATTCTTTTTTGTGTTTTTTTCTTCTCCGAGATTTCCCAGATTTTAAAAAGTTCCGAATTTGGATTTCCTCCCCCACCACGCATCCGCATTTATTATTTTTTTCGTTACATTTATTGTCAATTACGCCCCCGATCGGCCCCTCCCTTTTTTTTTTTGGTTTTTACCAAAAGGCCATCGTCGCACCTTCTGTGCCCGTCTTCTCGGCGAGACCCTCCTCCTCTTTTGGTCCCCTTTCCTTTTCGTTCGTCACGCCCAAGGGGGGGAGAGAGAGAGAGAGAGAGAGAGAGGTAGGGAGTCGAGGAGGGCGGGGGGTAGTATGGTCATTTGCGGTGAGAGCGACGTGCGGTGCTTCTGGTGTGGTCCCCCCCTTATGTATGAGGCGGGGCCCAGAGAGAGAGAGAGAGAGACGAAGGAGAAGAAGGAAGGGAGGAGTTGGAGGAGGAGGAAGGGCGGTTTTTGCCTGCGGGCCGGTGCACCGTGCGCTTTCGTGTCGGGTCGCGCGATTTGTGATCTGTCGTGTGGCGAGTCCCGATCGGACGGTTGCGCGCGCGGGAGCGTGTGTTTCCGGACGCGTCGCATCGTATCGCTGACTCGTGTGCTTCTCTTTCTCCCTCTCTCTCTCTTCTGGGTAATTTCCTTTTTGGGGGGGGCGAGAGTGGGAGAGAGAGAGAATGCGTTGAATTTGAGGTGTGCCGCCGGCCCGGAGCCGGAGACCCGAGGCCCCGTCGGATCCCCCAGGGTCCGGCTCGTTTGACCCGGACCGGATCGGACCGGTCCTTCCCGCTCGCTCGCCTTCCTTTTGGAACCGGTTCGGTTCGGCACGTGCGGGGACACGGGAGCGGTCACGTGGGTGAAGCCACGCTCGTAAAGCGAGAGAGGGGGAGGGGTGTGGGGAGGGAGTCTGGTTTGTCCATCGGTCACGTGAAGCCACGTGTCTCGGGGTGACGTGGCGCGGGGCGATTGGCGGCTCGCTCGAGTGCGGGAGGCGACCTGTCAAGCGGGTCCCACTCTCGTGTCCTCTCTTTTTTTCGCTTTAGAAAAGGAAAAAAGAAAGGGAGAAAATGGAAAAAAAAAAGGGGAAAAAGAGAAATGGTTTTTTTCTTTTTTTTTAAATGCAATTAAAATTCGATTTCGAGAGCTGGAGACGACGGGGTTGATCATGGTGGACTGACGCGGGGGTGAGTTGACTCGGATCTCCCCCTTCTCCCCCAGTTTCTTTTTCGGTAGAAAACATACATATAAGAGAGAGAGATTCGAGAAACTCTTCTTCGGTGTTTCCCCTTCGGGGCGCCCCCTCCGTCCAATGAGTGCGCGCCACGTCATCCGGCGCTCTGACCCCCCGGGGGGTGCGTGGGTCAACGGCCCCCGACAATCCCGGTCGCTGTCGTTTGACTTTTGGGACCAATCGAGGATTGGGTTGGGGGGGGGGGGGGGGGTTCCCGATCGTTCCCGGGTTTCTTATTTTACGGTGCTGGAAATCGCGGTTTCGCTTTTTTATCGTTCTTCTGATACGCGTAGCTTTGCGGTTCGTGCAAAAGTCGATTTTTTTTCCGGGCGACCCACGTTTTGCGTTTTTCTCTCCACCTCCGGCTGACCGGCTTCCATTTGATGTGGGGATGATGTCGATCTTTTCAGGGTACTGCTCCGAACGGTGCCGCCTCGTGCCTGGCTGCTGTCAACAAGCTGAGGAAGAAGAAGGTAAAAAAAAAGATTCCTGCTCTTCCGCGGGCGTGTGGGGGTGGGGGTGGGGGAAGAGAGTTGGCTTGTGCTCGCGTCTCCGATTCTGTTTATTCTACTCCCTGCGCCGCCTGCATTTTTTTTGTGGATGCTCATCTCTTTTAAGCTTTCGGTTTCCCTCTGTTTCTTCGATAGACGTTCGCCGAGCTCAAAGACGAGGAGAGCTACTTGCTGAACGAAAGGATCCATTTGGACAAGGTACTGCTGCTCTTGCTCTCTAAGCGGGTTCGGTTCCGAATGCTTGCTCTTGGCCTTGTCGCGTGCTCGTTCCTCACCGTGTCTCGCGTCTTCGAACTCGAAAACAGGATATAGCGAGGCTGCGCGCGGCTTTCGCGGAGCAGAGAGCTAGAAACGAATCCTTGAAGAGGATGAAGGTGATGATCAAGCTTTCTTTTCTTTTCTCTTGTTCCTTTTTTTTTTTTTTTCCATTCGTCCCTCCGTTTTAATGTTTTCTTTTTCCTTGGAACTGTGCTTCCGTTGTTTGGGGATGGATACATGAATGATTAGCGAATAATACAGGTGGGAAACTAAATCATTGTGCTTTTCCGCCAATGAATTTCTCCATCCTCCCAAGCTCCATGAAGGGAGTGGCCAGTGAAGAGAGGGCTTTGAATTATGTGAAACAAAGTGGTCATCGTCTAGACAGTCGTGTTTTGAAGTTTCTGGTGGAAATGGTAGTAATTAGCCTCATAATGTGTATGTATGCTGGTGTCTCGCCTTTCATGGTCAGGAAAAGTGGCATCCATCCGATGACCATATCAGTTTTGGAATCGCGAAATTAGATTTTGTGCACATAACTCCTTGTTATTTGAACCTCTTGAAATCGAGATTTACGCTCGTCTGTTTGTCCTGCTTTTGTAGAATGCGCTTCTGACAGTTAGGCCCTCTGTTTTGCAGCTTGATTTGAATTTGCTTTCTCGAAAGAGCAATGTGGTCACTGCTGATGACAGAGATGAAGCAACCTCTGGTTTGCATGACAAGACGGAAGCATCTACATCGGATCACCCTGCATCATCGACATTGCCAGAACATGACAAGATGGAAGCATCTACGAGCGAGTGTCATCCATCTTCCAGCTTTAGCCAATTTCCTAAGCCGGCGATCAAGGACAGTGACAGATCTTTCATGCTACCTGATCTAAACATGATGCCCTCTGAAGAGGATTCTAGGCCTGAAGATTTTTATGGGTTGAGCTAAGCGAGAACATCACGGATATGCGGCGCCTTGTAATTAAAGTGAAGCGACACTCATGTCGACGATGTTCTAGGTTATATCATACAGGATCGGATAAAGAGGAGTGGATCTCCATATCCATATTCTCAAGAGCTGCAAGTTATAAGGATGGTTCTGACTCTGTGGTCGAGCTGAGATGTCGTTGGGTTGCAGAGCGAGATCTCCATCTCAACTGGAACCGGGGGGGGGGTAACATCCTCGCCGCTTCTCTCGATCGATCATAACTTGTATGAACGATGACCAAGCCATTCTTTGTAGGCATTGGCAGAGCAACTTGAATACAATCTCAAATTTTGTTCCTCAAAAAGAATCGTTTTCAGATTTACTCTCCTTATGCTTTATGTTGCTTTAATTTCCTATCTACCCACCTTTCTTGGATGGAAATGGTATCTGAATAATGAAGCATCACCGCCATTGAAGTCGATTGAAAATTTGCTGCTTCTTTTTGGTTTGGGATGGAGTGGATTCTAAGCTAAGGCTAACTAATCTTCACGTATGCGTGTAAGAAGTCTGGTCACTTTTTCGATTTGTATAATCGTTTGTTTGAATTGGTCATTCTGTCGAAATAACTAGCGAAAATGATCCACGCTGGCGTCTAACATGGTCATTAAGAAACATAAAAGGATTAATAGGAAACCCATTTTTTATACAAGAGAAATTTGGAAAGAAAAAAGTACTAATAACTTTAGCTGGAACGATGGAAAATAGTAAACAGAGGGTGGTGGTGCCGCTGTCCAGCCATCGGCATGGGTGGCCGGCCAGACGCTGGTCGGACTTGGGTGATGGCGGCCCTCTCCGGCGAGGACCACCAATCATTTGATCTTCCTAAGGCAATTGGCTTCCCAAATCACGGTTTTCGTTCTCAGCTTATATAGCTTCACACACATGATCCGTTCTTGAAGCAACATTCTTGCAAGTACCGTTCCGGTGCATCTCCCCGCGCTCTCCGCAGCTCCTGCAACTGCCGCCAATGACTCAACCCTCCATTTCTTGAGTCTGATAATGGTGCTCTTGTAGCTCTTTCTTTCTCTTCTTTGTCTTTTTAGAAATAATTACACAAATGGTTCATGAGCTTTGACTCGACGTGTAATATGATTTAAAAATTTATTTTGTTTAATGTGGTCCGTGAACTTTAGCTTAATATGCAATGTCGTCCCTCAATCTTTTATTTGTTCAATGTAGTTAATGAATTTTTGGTAAATATTTAATATAGTTCTTAAATTATATGAAAATAACCAATGCTATCGTTCAATTTATTCAAGTTCAGGGACTATTGAAAAATATCTACTGTTATCCTTCTACTAATTCAAGTTTAAAGACAACATTGAACATCTTCATATAATCTAGTGATAAGTTGAACATTTATCAAAATTTCAGGGACCACATTAAGCAAATGAAAAATTCAAAACAGTATTGCATATTTGGCTAAAGTTTGTGATCATTTGTGTCATTTCTCTTTGTTGCTTTTCTCTATGGACTTTGGGATGATGAGTCTGGATTGGTTGGTGGGTACAGATTCAGGTGGTGACTTGCCTCCTCATGCTTCAGATCTGGGAACGAAGCACATGCTATACGGATTTGGGCTTATCCAAACAACAAGAGCAAACTACATCGGCTTGCCCTTCCCCTCCGGCTCTCTATCCCACCGTGTTGAGGATGTGTTTGTTAGGGTTTCGTAACTGGCAGCCACGCCACGTTACCTCCGGTGAGGGCTGCTGGACCCTCGTCGGTGGCTGGAGGAGCCTCCGGCGCCGCCCCACTGCCCCATGGCCCAAGCTGCCCTCTCCCCTATCTCGCGCTTTAGGTTTTTGTTTGTCTATTTTTGGTTTCCTTCCGCTTTCTTTGTCTACGACAGCAATTAATTAAGGGATAAACTAACATGGCGCTGACATGGATGCCATGTCAGCATTTTTGTTAAATGTTTAGACAAAAATACTGACTCAAACAAACAATTAAATAGTTTAGGGGTCCCATTGCACAAATTATGAGTTCGAGGACGACGTTGCACATGTTGAAAAAGTTCCGGGATTTTCCATGTCATTATGCCAATAGCCTTGACATGGATGCCATGTCAGCATTTCTCTTAAAGACTATCTTGAACAAACAATTATATAGTTTAAGGACCCCATTGCACAAAAAATAAGTGCAGGGATAAAGCTGCACGAATTGTAAAAGTTAACGGATTTTTCATGTCATTATCCCAACACCCTATCGCGTAACAAGTGTTTATACCTAAAGTCATATATAGACAATTACAGACAAGATTCATGATATAGAAAAAGTAAGATCGGCATATACGATTGTTTTGCAAATTGATACCTCAAATTGTTTATAATTAAAGTGTTCTGCAAGTCCTACAATGTGTAGCAGAAATGTAACGAAATCCTTAAACTTGCAATAATTTCGGCCATCAAGTCCCAACAAAAAGTACCATTAAGTACTTAAGTTAATTCCGTCCAATTTTAGCAACAAAACAACGACGCGGTGTTTTATATATTTATGGAAACCAGATGGCGCTCCTCACATGTGGTGGTCGCAAGAAATGCGGACCCTTACCGATTGCCTAGGTAAGGATCACAGCACCCCATTCCAGCAAACCCCCGTCAAGAGCCATGGTTCTTATTTGTGCGACCCGGTGAAGGAGGGTATTTTTGTTCCAAAGGGTTCTTGGTGGTAGACGGATGTATTTTTGTCACGCTAGTACAATTTTGGGAGGTTTGGTTATACAAAAAATTTGGGGTATTAGTGTAACAGTAGATATAGTTTAAATATTTTGGTGACAAAAAAACATTGAGAAATTGATGTCACGGTGAGCACGGTTTGAGATTTTGCAGTGGTATTTACCTATTTAAAAAAACCACGTCAATGTTTTCTCTCAATTGCACTTTTCGACCAAGTTACCCAAAACCGAAAATCTAGCACACTATATTAGAATTTAGAAAACAATCTAGTTTACCATCTACCATTATTAGATAGAACACCTTATCTCATCCCACCACCGTGGTCTTTGTTGGTTGTTGGTCTAGTGACATAGGGCTTATTCTCAAGTAGTTCGGGGCTCCCGGATCACAGATTTGGAATTTCCCGATCGCTCCTTTGCCTCGTGAAACCACGGTTTGTTCATACCTAGATTGCCATGGTGTAAGATAACCCCGACCGCACTCTCACTAGCACCGTAGTGGGGCTGCGGTGACGTGCGAGCGTGGAATGCTTGGAAGCAAAGAAGCTCGCAATCAGTGATATCTTGCCCTATTTACATCCAATCCAATTATTGACATCTCAACCGTAGAGTTTGAGGATGGATAGGATTCCATTATACATATATATATTTACATCCAATCCACAATCGTTGACCCCTCAACCCTAAAGTTTGAGGATGGATAGGATTCCAATACATCTTAGATCAGGGAAAAAAGTCCTCATCTACAAATCACAGTGAATGTGTCTGATTTAGCTTCCGTCGCGAAATCTAACTCGGGCATGTATGGTTTAGCTCAAAAGCACTTTCGCTCCCAGACCAAACTTTTGAAATGCATATTTTATATGATGGAAAAATTTTCTGTGGACTAGATCTGGGTCCATATTCCGGACCCCAAATTAGCAGCATACGGTTTTTGGAATGCCGGTTTTAAGGAATCGCGTGAAATGCGGGAAAAATAAGAAGGAAAGCTGCACAAGCAAGGGTTCTACCACGCAGCAGTTGGCATTCTATAACAGAGATCGTAATCAACAAAAGATCGAGTTAGAACTTCTGTGCAGGAGGCAAACTTACAAATTATGCTTGAGCTTTTCTTCAACGAGTTCAATGCAGCGATAGAGAACTAATTCTATTGGATTTAGGCCACCGACGGCGTCGAATGAAAATGGATCATCATCATTTCTGTTCTCTGCTAAGATGCCGGTCACCAGGGTCCGGAGAGGCAGAAGCCATTCATTGTAGGCCTTCTTCAAGTTGGTCTCGGACAGCACTCCAGTGTGATTGGTTTTTCCTGTTTCAACAGTCACAGGAAGACTTGCATGAGAGAGAGAGAGAGAGTTCCTTTCTGGTAATGCATCTCTTATGCCAAAAAAAAAACATGGAAAACCTATATGTGGAACATTTTCATTAGAATCTAATTCCGAGTCTGCTTGTGGGTGTGTCCATCTACAGTAAACAGTACTACACGCACACACAAGTCTGGGCAAGGTTGCTAGCACAATGGACGTGTACATTCATACACATATATATGTGTGACTACTTACATTCAAACATCGACGAATGCAGCTGATTGAATCACACTGAGCAAACAGTACAGCCAAACATATCGACAAAAGGTCTCCAAAGATCTTTAGCTAGCTCAGTAAGATCCAAACAATAGCCAACAAGGAGTTTTGCATGCCGAAGAATGGTAGAATGACCCAGCCCCATGAAAAGGTCCAACTTACATGTTCAGTGAAAGATTATTTACATTTTGATATAGTCCATAACATGCCACGTTTGTGGAGGATTTGATGTATGTGCTTTCTGACTGCTACATTTAACCTTCCGATAAAGGATGTAACAGATATTCAAATAGAAACCGTGTCCTTCATCTAAAAGTTTAAGTTTTTAAAACAATTTGCAATTTTCTCATAAAGTTTCACATGGCATCAAAATAAGAGGTCAAGAATCCAGATCTTTCTCCCTATTATCAATTTCCACACTTTAGTCTTAGACTAAATATCATCATACATGAGAGGGCAGTGGGTGCTAGATATTTAGATACTGAACAATGCCTTTATTTATTAATTTACGTTTTTAGAACAATTGGCTGTAGTCAAACATAATTTTAACAGGATTAAATCCCATATTGACCCTATTTACTGTTTAGAAAATAAGCCGTATTTTTCTAGCGGTGTCAGCTTTTCCCCAACTGAGTAGGCAGTAATGGGCCTGCTGTAGAGAATAGGGACATGGACAAACTTAAACGTAGAAGTTCATAGTATTTGTAAGACAATTAGTTTAAAGTGGCATACTCAAATTATATTCACTTATTCAAAGATTGAATGCGACTGCTTCTTGGTATTGTTGTAGTGATGAAGATTGAAATTACTCATCCATGAAAATTAAGTTTAGAAATATTAATTACTAAATATCCCATCTTTAAGATTAAAGCGCAAAATCTTTATTAATCTCCATTATGTACGGAGATAATGATTCACTAATATCTGATTTCTCTGTGCATGAACGATGTAAAATAATCATTTACCAAGAAAGTATCATCAAAATTTGCAAAAATGTTCAGCAAAAGGTCACTGTTTGTTATGCTATTGTCTAATGGATGGTCAAAATACTATGATACCCGGTCTTTATGGTGGTTTGGTCTAGAGATACGATGTAGCAAAACTGCAATTATTCTCCCCTCGTTTAAAAAGCAGTGTCCAAAACTGCCATTCCAATGGAATGAGGCGGATTGACATTGGCATTTTAAAGCCGGGTTTGAGGGAAGAAAGCGTTTAAACAATTAGAATGCAGATACTCAAGGGAGGCACAATATAAATCTATAATTTATAGTGTCTCAGTAATACTTCAAGGTTTCTCACACGAGAAACTTTTTCAGGGAGTTCTTTTCACTATTATGCCAACTTATTCACTAATTTATCATGCCTATATCCCTGACCGATCCAACAGGTCCAGAAAAACCAAAACTAATAAAAGTGAAATAGAAGAACTTCTCCCGAAAGAAGTTCTACAGGTTCTTCGATCAACAAGACTAATCAAGATTGTCCCAAATAGTGGATCAGACCTGTATATTTGAACAAATGCTTTCTTACTGAAATTTTCACAATACGTGTGAAAATCACAGCTGGAGAAAAAACAACAAACTTATGCAGCAACTGCAAGAAGAGTCACAAACTCGCAATTTTAATAAGAAAATAAAAGTGATTGAAGCATAGGCTGAAGACTAACATACAAAATGGAAATAAAGAATTATAAAATTTTTACCTGTTGATTCAGACAAGAACACAAATCTGTACAAGTTGAGGGCAGATAGAACCTGTAAGATCAAATGCAAGCTCGTCATTTTAGATCATTAGACTCTATCAAAGATTTTAAGAGTATCGGCCAATTCATTTCAAATGTGTTTGCCTACACATTTATATTAGCACACTTCTAACACATCTCATAGAGGTTGCGCGCTCATAGTGGAAGAGGTTCAAATGACTAGTAGATAGGTTCATTACGGAAAAGTAAACAACAATAAGATCCATTTGGCATTGATAATGTAAGGATGTAAGAGATTGTGAATATAAGCTTTATATGGAAAAGGAATCGGAATGTGTTATTGCACGTCACATGTAAATATGGACTTCCCCTCAACTTCGCATCTCGAAATTTAATATAGAAAGATGGATACTTTTGATTTGGCCTTTTCATTTTTCTATTCCTATTCATTTAGAGCATTCAATGGTCTTAGGAAAACTAATGAGCTTTAAACCCGTTCAAAAGAGTTTGACACCATGGAAAACGTCACAACCAAAAAAGAAATAAGGAGCAGCCATCATCAAAGCAAGGAGACAATATGGAAATAATCAATAATAAGGAGTCATACATACCGCATCAGTTTGTTCAGGAAGACTTGGAGGGCCTCCTTTAGAAGGCCTCAAAACCAATTCCACTAGTTCAAGCACATCAGCAGACCAAGCTGGTGTCTCATGGAAAACTTCATTAACATTTCCTTTTGACAATTCGCTACTAGTTTTGGCATGCCTCACTTGTCTAACAATATCTAGAAGGATGGCAACCTACACAAGTTGTAGGCAATCAGATCAAGTTATGCGTCCTTCCATGCAAAGAAAAAATACACTTATGTCATTTAAGCAAGCTCTAATAGAGTTACCATAGAGGAAGAGTTGCAATTTGTAATCAGGGCTTTTAAGATGTGAAACCTTTGAGAAATTGGAATATCAGCAAGCACCTGGAGATTAGGAAATAAATGCACAAACTTAACTTAAACAAGAGAGAAGTGGAATATCAACAAGCTGGTTAACGATGCAAGAGCAGAGCATCTTAAAGTCAAAAACACCAACCCTTTTCAGCACATCAAAAGCGTTCTTCCTTAGTACAGCATCCGATGTGTACATAATGACGTTCTCAATCCCCTAGAATTTGCACTTTCATGATAAGAAGAACATACAACATGAAAGGGCATACAATCAAGATCTTTCACTATAATACCTGCAAGGCAGCAAAATGGCTAGGAACAAATGATGAGAAATCTAGAGTCTCACTCTCACACTCCTGTGAGATATCTCCTTCTGTGATGCAAAGCAAGAAGTCAATGGCATGTTTCTTTAATCTCCAAGGTAGAGTAGCTGAACAGAACACATGCCTTAGCATGCCGATTGCCTGCCACCTTCTGGTTTGACTATGCCGAATTTCATTCTTTACCGCAGTTAAATCCTCCTCAGCATTATGAGCAACCTCGTTAGACATATCACCCCATATAACTGTACCAGGAAGCAAACAAATTTGAAGTTGCAAAAGGATTAAAGGAAAACTGCACGAATCAGAAAGATCTTATGCGAAACTGCAACAGAATACACTGTCAACGCACTGCCAAATATTACCTGAAAGAGCTGCTCCAAGCTTGATACTGGGTAAAGGAGCCCAGAAACTATCTTCTTCTACGCATATGAAAAAAAATTTATCACTTTAAATTGCAAAAGTGAAGAAATTCCTTCCAGCTTGTAGATCGGAAAAATAATAAATCCACAGACGGAGCAGCATATTACCACCAGTTATGGTGCTGATCATCATGTCAACAGCAGACCCTGTTATCAAGCCAATATAAGATAAATGGCAACATCTCAAGAAGTGTGAAAGTTCAGTCACAAGGCGGAGAGAGCTGGACACATTCTCATCCATGCAAATGGATACATGAGTCTGCACATACAAAAGTTATATTAAGATGTGAGTATGTCAAACGGCTTCATGCTGACAAATCATCTAATGCACACGCACGCGCGCATGTGTGTGTGCGTGTGGGAGAGAGAGAGAGTAGAAGGGCAACAACCACTTGGTGAATCATCTACAAGTCATTTTCGAAAAGGAAGTTAAATCTTTCGTGTACAGACAGATACTCTAGACTCTTACATGACCTCAAAAATAAATATACTAACCATCATCTGCAAGACATACAGACCAAGCAGAATGAGGAGCTTCTCAGCTGATCCGTTGTCCTGTTAAACTTAAACCGTTAATCTAGGATCTGACAAGAAATTGCATGTAAATAATTTCACAATTATGGATCACAGACCAACTTCTGGTGAATAGTTTGCATCGAATTAGCAATATTTATACCGCTGCTGAACAGATCCTCAAGATCTGAATCCTCCTCATCTGCATCTGTAGACACTTTCTCCCAAACACGAAGGATTGCAGGAACTACCTCCTTTATTTGCTCAAAGTGACGCCTTTTAATCATAAGGAGAACTGTAATACAGAAAACACGGAGCAGTGGTTTTATAGTTTGATGCAGACCGAAGAGTTTTTCTTTTGACTCATTCTTATCAGTATCAAATATAGATACAATACTTTCAACTACAATCTCAAGCTCCCCAAGCATGTCTACAAAATGTGTAGAAAATCCCTGATATTATCCTACCAAAGACAACTTGCAGATGTTAACTTTGGGGCAGTGAATATGCCATAATGCCTGATGTTCAAATGGAAAGATAAGTCCACGTAAAGGGAAAATCATGGAAACAAAAATGACCATGGAAATATTCGAGTTAAGACACAAACAAAGTATGAATATCACCAGAAGCAATAAAATACCATAAAAAATCACAAAGTATTATTTCAAAATCGATTGATAAGCATTGAAAAAGTTGAGCACATTATAAAAAGAGACTTTTTTGTAAGCACATAAAGTTTCTTTATATTACTACGAATAAACAATTTTAAACTTGCAAGACAGACAGGATACATTTTCATCAGCATCCAACATCCAAAACAACATTTGAGCACACATTTATTTAACTGCTTTAGTGAAAGTCAAAATGGAAAAGGCTTCCTGACATTTGAATGAGTTCATGCTGCATAAAGTGCAGTGTTCTACCAGTTTTTCATTTCAATGCCTAAAGCATTGCAGAAAGGGAATTGCATCTCGTTTATTTAAACAATCAGCATGGACATCCAACATCCAATCAAGATATAATGAGCTCATTGAGGAAAAACATTTGTTTTACGTAGCTTTATGAAGGCCTCTCTGCAGTACTTCACGGATCCAAAACTGATTTTGCTAAGCATGCATGAATGTTAACAGAAGTTACTGACTGACACCTCGATAGATGTATATTCAGTACCTAAAACCATGATTGGAGGACAGATGTATTAAGAAAGTATTGATAATGCCAAGGTGGTCAAGACACTTTTGCACAATGGGTCCACAGGTTGGACTGCAAGTATTAGAGTCAGCTTTATCATTTGAATGGCATATATCGAGAAAAGCATCCAGTAAAAATACTTCGAAGAAAAGAAATCCCAAATAGCACTTTTGATACTAGAATCAAGACTTCTTTACTCAGCGATATGTCCGAGGAGATAAAATACTTTAAACGATAATCTGCACCAATAAAAACATAACCTATTCAAGGAATAGAAAAAAAGTACCTTCTGAGAGACCACTCAAAAGAGGGGCAAAGTAGCTAGAAAGCTTAATCGTTTCACCTTCGCTTGAGGAATCTAGGGCCTGTTCCAACATTGACTGAGGATTAGCAAGATCTCATCCAGCAAACTTAAAGCTTAAAAGAATTGATCAGTGCTAACCATATGACTACACATTACTATAAAGAATGTACTGCAAGATCTTATCATTCAGAAAAATCAAAATCATATAAAATTTGAATCAAATTAAAGATCAGGTTTAACCAAAAGCACGTACAGTTAATGCTTAATCCACTTTTTTGGTCATATCACTCAAAGAGGATAATTGAATCCTCATAATAGAATATGAAAGTGATAGCAGAATTTCATGAGAGGAGTGAGTTATTTGTTAGGTCATCTCATGTTTATGCCCATAAACTATCTTGACTGGTATTTGCAAGTGAAAATGCCCTCATGAGATGGAAGCAACTATTGAGTATCAAGAGAACAAGCAACAATTTCAAGCCAGAATGACAGCTCAATCAAACCAAGCCTCCTTTTGATGAGGCAATGCAAGAAAACTAATAAAAATTGGTATTATTTGTTTAGTCTCGTCAACTAAATAACTATCTTTTGAACTCGACCATGGACATGTCAGAGAGTAGATGTTCGCAATTTCTCAGATAAATATAGAAAATTATAGATGACTGCGCATCTATTCTCGACCAAATGAAAGAAAGTTCCAAATCTTTCCCCGTCAAAAAGAATAAGAGTGACTTTTTCACGAAAGAACTCAGGGAAGTATTACTTTCATATATTAATTAGTTTAACTTCATGAAGTTTGCAAAGCATCCCGCTAAAACAGGGGAAATTATTAACATGTGGCTAGACATGTCCATTATGTTTATTGACAAGTTCTTTGACAGCAAGTACAGACTCTTATACTCAGTGCTTGGCCATTCTATTTCTCAAAATGCTTAACTCGCATGTTTCATACATCCATGAACTTAAAGAGGCACTTGAGAGTGTGTGTGCAAACTCACTCATGAAGCCGAAGCAACATGAAAATGAAAGGCTTTCTTCCTATGATGCTTTCACTTTTTAAACCTGGGAAGACATCTATTTCCTCATCTTAAATTTTGCTGATAAATAGTAAACAGCTTCAAAACACCCAGTTTAATTTTACCAACACATGTTTATAAAGGTGTTTGCTAGGGAACTAAAATGCCAAAGAGAGCATTCAACATTTAACAGCTAGAGAGATCACCAGAGCACGTGTTGCATGATATAAATGCAGGGTCGAACAAACAGTACTCACTCACCATTTAACAATAAAAGACAGCGATAGATACACTTACAAATGCCAGATGTTATTAAGGAGCACATGAGGTCACATGAGAAAATCGTAATAATGACCATGAAGCTATATAATCAATCTATCACGTGACATGTGCTTACAGGATGTTTAAAAGAACATCATTTGCATGAGTACTGGTGCAACAAAGTTAATCTACCGCAAACATGTGTCTGGATGTGCAGTTACTAAGAAAACACGGATAAAAGGGGAGGATAGGTTTATTTACTTCAAATTATTCAAAATAAGTCCACGTCAAACCTCGCAGAGAATTGGCAACATGTCCCGCGGATTACACTTCACCAAAAACTGACGGATTATGCTTTCCGCAATCGCCAAAAACCGTCTCGACGCCCCTGAAAATTTCGAAACAGCCTTCGGAAGCTCAAAAGAGAGCGCATCAAGGAGCTCCTGCCATTCCACCACGCAACAGAAAACCTACTGTTAAAATAAAGACGGAACTTACCTGATCAACTAAATGAGCCACAGAAAAACATCAAGACCTGATCAATCGAAGGGGAGCTTATATACTCGTAGATACCCGACAGCAGTTTGAACGCATCTTCGTGCGTGTCCTCATCCTCCGCGGCCGCCACCGACACATCGCCGAGAAACTTGGCAAGCTCGGAGACCAACCTCTCGGTTCGATAGCTATCTCCACTCTCGACCGACTGGAACATGTACGGAGGCAATATACAGTGTCACAACCCCATCGAATGGCACCAACCCGCGGTAGCAACATAACCATTCCAAAGCGCGAAGTACAGAGTCGGAAGAAAAAATCGAATTTCTCTCAGGACAGGGAAAGCCAAAGACCGTCACCGTCGGCCATTGGCGCACAGAAACTCATCCAGTTTCCCTCAAATCCGGCTAAAACAGTTAACGGACAACCGGTCGCTTTCACTCGCGTCAGCGCAAGCGTTCGTCCGGAGAGAGCGTTCAAGCGGGACCGGATCGTTCCGGACACGACAAATCGACCGCGTCGCATCCAACGAGTTCTCTTAGGTTTCGAAATCAACAGACCGGCGCGATCGACTCCCGATTCCTCGGAGGAAAGCGAGGCGAGGCGAGGCGAAGTTCTAGGTTTAATCAGGGCGGGACGGAGAGGGAGAGCGGGGGAGGGCGGAGGAGATTCACTCACCTTGGCGCACGAGCTGAGGATGTCGCGAACGCGGAGCGAGGGAGGAGGATCGGGAGGAGGAGACGAGAAAGCCGCCGCGGAGTCGCTCGCCGCCGCCGCCGCCGCCGCCTCCGTCGACATGGAGGGCTTCGCTCGCCTGGAAGACCTTGCGCTTCGGGGTTCAGTTTTGCTTGGGATACTTGAGGAGACGAAGAAGAAGAAGTGCAGCTGCGAAGAAATGCCCGTTGAAGCCCGGAGGCGTCCAGACGGAGGGTGTGCCTAGTTTTCGATCCGCCTAATTTCCTAAAATCTCAATTTTAAGCCCGGTGTATTTCGCAGAAAATAAATAATTTTAAAAATATTTTTCTGAAAAAATGATTGCGCTTGAAATTATTGATAAATGAAATTTATATCTAAACAATTTCGTAGCCGGCAAAAGTACTTTTCGGTTATTAACTTTTGTAAGCGACACAAGCAGTTAGTTTTAGGAAAATGTTATCCAAATCATTCATTTTCGACGAAACAAAAGCATCCTTAAGTCCAATTGCAATTCTATCTTGAACTTTTTTGTTTATCTAAAAAAGATTCTCAATTTTCACTTTAATTTCAAATCTGTCCACGAATACAATTTCTTGAAAATTAGCAATATCAAGACCAGTCAGAAGTTCATTATCAAAACTTGCGTATACATCAACACCCACACCTTCGTATGAAACAACAACGGTCTCTTGAAAAAATCAGTGGCGATTTTTGGTCGCGAGGGGCAAATTAGGAACTAAAGCGAAAGTCGAAGATTTTTTAGACAAAAATAATTCGGGATAAAGTTGGGATTTGACCTAAAAATTGCGAGTTTTTACGGGGAGTTAGCCTAATTTTTTTTTTATCATAAGGTCTTATAATTCACAAGTCAAATGTGTTAAAGATGCAAGTGTGAGTTGTGTTTAGAAGTCCCACATCGGATAATTGATGTGGTGTTGAACAGTTAATATATTATAGTTGGCCTATAATTCATTGATTTAAATTTTTGAGTGAAGGTGGGTCTAACTGGATATTGACGGACTCGTACTTGAGCTCCTTCTTGGCGATCCCTCCAGGTGAAGGTATCGGATTTTTGCTGCACGTTCTTAACAAATGGTATTAGAGCCGATGGTTGATTGATGGGCCTCCAATCTGTTCCGGTGTTTGATGAATATCTCAACAAAGAAATCTCATGATCGATGTTTGTTTCGAGTGAAAATTGCTATGACAGTTGGTCTGGTTCGTTGACCCATAACTCATTGGCTTAAGCTTTTGAGTAAAGGTGGGTCCAACTAGATATGTTGACGGACTCGGGCTTGAGTTTCCTCTTGGCGATATTCCCAGGTGAAGGTATTGGGCTTCTGCTGCGCGCTTCCTAACAAAATGAAATAAGGGAAAAGTGACCAAGAACATAAAGATATATTAGATAGGGGATAGCATCTCTTTACAGGCTCACGACGACATGAAAGTTTTCAAATTAGTATTCATTAAGCTAAACATGGATTCCCAGGGATTTGAAAAAAATCAACACCAACACTCGTACCGTTCCCTTTGGGTGGGGGATAAAACCGGAAATAATCCGGCCTCCGCCTAGCCGGCGAATACTAGAGCCGGTGAAACGGCACCTGCTAAACTGAAAAATCGCTCGTTCTCCCCTTCCCTGCGAGCCCGTGTTACGGCAACTCCAGATGAAAGGCAAATGGGGGGGGGGGGGTGGTTTACTGAGAAAAGAGGCCGAGGCCGAGGTCGAGATACTTTGTCGATGCGTGGCGGTCCGGCTAATGCTCGTTCAAAGGAAGGGAAACTCGTGCCCGTTCATATAAGAAGAGGAAGCCCTATTGCCGTGGAACGACGGGCCTAAGGTCCGCACGGCAAATCCCTCACCTTAAAACATCGTTTCGTATATTTTACGTGGGCTTTACTTACAGTCAACAGGGCTTTACGGTGGCCTTTGTTCCGTGCACGATGGAGGATCCGCACCGGGCTGGGCCCTTGTGAACCTTATACTATGATAGAAGCTCCTACACTTAGTTCACTTTGTAGCCTTTGATCGGCGCGTTCGTTCGAAGGAAAATTATTTCCGGCAAATTGTTTTCCGACTTTCCAATGTTTGGATGATGGAAAACTGATTGATTTATGGAAAACGTTTTTCATGGGCTGAAAACAACAAGCTTAGATCGAGGGAAAACGACTTCCCCTTTTGGCAAGAAGGAAATCACTTTTTCTAAACCACCAAACAAATGAAAGCTAATGGGTGCGTGCGTTTGTTTCACTGAAAACTTCATGATAAAGGAAAATATTGTCTTGAATATCATTTGTAAGGAAAACAGTTAATTTTCATTTGTTTGGCGGGTTAGGAAAAAATGTTTTTCCTTCTTGCCGGAAGAAGAAGTCGTTTTCCTCCAATCTAAGCTTGTTGTTTTCGGTTCATGAAAAACGTTTTACGTAAATCGATTGGTTTTTTGTCATCCAAACAACGAAAATTCGGAAAACAATTTCCCAAAAACAATTTTCCTTCAAATAAACTGACCCTTAGTTCACTTTGTAGCCTTCAATCTTCACACCCTGATAAGCAAAATGCCAATGTAAAGAAAGTAACTGTAGTTATTGATGCAATTGAACAGCAATAGAACGCTAGTTTTTCCCACGTAGGCTTGTTCTTGCCATTAAGAACAAGCATTCATCTTTTATCAACCGAAAACGTATGAAATTATGCACTGTCGAATCTTATTTTCGGTAACAAATGACGATTTACTTAACCCTAGCTTGCTCAAATCTGTTCATGAATATTCTATTGGATTTTGCAAGTTTCCTAAGAATGCGGTACTTATGAAACCACATTAAACTGTTATTTTCGTTTAATTTGTTTTGTTTACACTTTTACATGGGGAAATCGTTTTTTTTCTCCTTTCATCCTATCGAACGGATCCTATGAATATGAATGCACAAAGGTCGATTGCATGAACAAGCCATTTTTCAGTTCTGTGACATGGTTCTTAATTCTTTTAGTTCGCAAATTTTGTACTTTCCACTTCTTTCGGTTTTTTTTCATGGTTCATGCGTCACATAGACGTAAACATGAAATAATTTTATGTTAATACGATAATTGGATCTTTTAGGATCATAGAAGCGATTGGCCATGCACGGATAAATTCGAAATTAAGAATCCAAAAACTTTTTTTTTTATATATTTGATTGATTACATAGGTTATGCTTCCTATCATCAAATAAAACCGTACTATTCTCCAATAGGCTCAGATAAGTTTGCTCACGAATAGAAGAGAATACTTTGAGATCGAATCTCAATGATTTCATTGACCCATGACGATATCTGAAAGAATATCGTAAGATGTTTTCGTTTTTTGGATGATTACTAGTGAAACTTCAAAATTAATATATAAATATATCAATTATAAAGTTTAAAAAAACTTTCTTTATTTAATATTTGCTGTAATACTAGTAATCAAGGTTAAGTATCAGTATAGAAATCACCAAAAATGAGATTTGATGGTGCATAATTTCATGTTCCGATGTGGGTGGAAGATAAACATTTAAGTTACTCTGAACTTAAGTCTGAATCTCAACCTAAATGGTTAACGTCGGTGTAGTCATTCCTATTGCTCGAAGCTAATTTGTTTTTTTGCTAACGTGGTATTCTGATCGACCATCGTCCTCCGATAATGAGTAATTAACTTCACGCTCAATGTAAAATATGAAATAACCTTTGAGAGCAATACATGTACAATCCTCCTAAATAATATGTTAAATTGAATTTGATAGGTTTGAGCATGGCATATAATGAACCTGCGCTAAAATCGATTCCAGTTTGAAGCCCAAAGAAGGGTTCGGTTCAATGCGTCTTGTGATTGGTAGTGCATGTGAAAGTTTTTCTTTGATCGAATAAAAGAGTCGATCATAACCATGTGGCGACAAATTCTACAAGCTTTTGACAAATTGGAGAGGCATAGCATTTTGCGGCGTAATTGAAGAGCCATAGTCAAGCCACATGCTCACACTCTGGTTGACAAAATTGACTAAAACTACCTATAGTTTGGTAGGGATAGGGTTATTGATGTGAGAACTCCGGTAAAAAAATAATAAATAAATAATTTCTCTAGATTGGTGCATAGTTGATTGAGGTGTCGGCAAATTTCCTAATAGGAAGTCACATATGCAAGCTCTATCAACTGCATGAAAATTACTCTAGATCGGTACCATCAAAATGCACGGGCCAAAAAGCCTGAAGTTAAACGGTTCATGAGACTTGCAAGATGTTACACAAGTCTCCAAGTAATCGGGTCTCTTCACTCCTGTCCCTAAATTATCATAAAAAGAAAATGGCGAGTCAATCAAGCACTCCGGAAGAATCTAAAATTATCTCTACGGATTGCTGAAATTTATATTTAGGATTGACGAAACAATTCACTCAGTAACCTACGGAGCACTTTGTAACCTTTGGACTCTTTGTCATGAATTACAAACAATAGCCAAGGAGTTTTAAAAGAAGTTACAATGTGCTATTGATATGAATTAGTATGGCGAAATGCACAACTACATGGAAGAAGAGCCCTCTATTGCTTGAACCTAATTTGTTTTCCATAAATGCAAAATAATTGGTAATTTAATAAGAGAAAAATCGGTAATCACTCTTATTGAGATATGTAATCTCTAAAAGAGTCGGTAAACTTTAAAAGTTGGCAAGCAAGCAAGAATAGTGGTAACTAAATAAAAAAAGTTGATGAATTAAGAAAAAATAAATGAGAATTGGTAACACAAATTTAGTTGTTAATTTAATCACGAGGTAAGTGTACTGAAAGTCTTAAAACTTATTACGAAAGTGTAATTGACTCTTAAAACTTTTAAATAGTGTAATTAAATCCTAAAACTTGTTAAATTGGTGCAATCAAGTCCTTTCATCAACTCCTTCCAACTTGACAAACGAAAAATGCTAACAAGTTTTAGGATTTGACCAATTTGACAAGTTTTGGACTTGAATACACTTTTCAAAGTTTTAGGACTTGAATACACTTTTAAAAGTTTTAGTACTTAATTGTACTTTTGTGATTGCACTTTTTGAAAGTTAGGATTCAATTGCACTTCGTGACAAGTTTTAGGACTTCAAGTACACTTATTTCTTTAATAATAAAAGAGTTGGTAAGTCGCCTAAAGAAAGGTTGGTTTCTCATTAATAATTGATGAACATAAGTTGTTGGTAAAAAAGTAAACAAAAGTTTGTAAAAGATCAGAGAATGTCTTTTTATTG